GTCAAAGCTGCTTCCAATCGCTCGATGTACAGACTCCATCACTGGGCTCCGTAGTGCCAGCCTCTGGTTTGGCTTTAGGTAAAGGGCTTTACCGCCACTGCTTGTCTTGGTTACTTTGACAGGAATTCACTCTCCAAACGCTATCGCTTGCGTCAAGACTTCCTGGGAAAGGGGATCCTTCCCCAGAGACGAGGGTCTCTGAAGGGGGGGAGGCCAGGGGGAGATGTGGGTGGACATTCTCTGAAGGGCAGGGCGCTGGGTTGGGGAGTCGTTAACGGGGGATAAAAGCATTAGGGTGGTGACTTGGGGGCGGGTCAAGGGCTTCTCAGGGATTATATGAATTATAGAATTGCAGCTTCCCGTTTGCTTTTACTCTGTGTTCTGAAGACTGTGGGAATTTGTCCGTTGTCCTGCGCGGGGGTGGTCTGGTCCCTTCTCCAGAACCTGCCGGGGCTTCCCCTGGCATGATCTGGGCCCCTGCTGACAAGCACTCTGCCAGGGGAGCCTCCAGCAGGAGAACACAGGGCAGGTTTGGGTCTGGATTTCAGTGAACCAAAGACCTTGTTAAGGGGGGTGATTAAGCCTTTTATTAAGATGCAGCCAAACTCTTTTCCCAGGGAAATAACAGCTTCATCTTAAGTTCTAAAAATCATTCCCTCTCTTCCCCCAAACTGAGCCCTTGTAAGGGAGAGGGGCGCTTAGAATAGGACTAGGAGGGCTACAGTGCCCACAGGGCCCTTCTCTTCCATCCCTCCCCGTCTGCCGGAGCTTGTCCTGACCTGGGCGATGCGTTTGGAGAGTTCTGTTTTGGTAAGAAGGTACGTAACAAATCAGTACTGAAAACACAAAGCAATAATTTTTGTTACTGAGACAAGAGTCTGTATGTCTGTTTTTTTAAATATTTCCTAATTAAAGAAGAGCTGCATTTTATTGGGTTTATTTTTATTCTATATACTTCAAATTTGGGTCTGCAGGCAGCGCTTTCCTCCCTCTTGGTATATGCGCTGAACTGCTTCCGTGCCCCCTCCAGACATCCCAGGCCAGCTGTGCTGCTGCTGGGCTGTGATTCACTCTCTGGCCAGTGCTGCCACTGCCTGGAGGCTGGGGCTCCGGTTTCAGGGTGGGCATTTTTTTTAAAAGAAATAAAGCTGTGTTTTTAAGCCAGTAAGTTATTACACTCCAATGTTTGTTCTCTCCACACCTGTAACCCTTTTTCCAGATTTCAGTTTTAAATTCCTAATAAATTATTTGAAAACTGTCCTTCTCTCTGATTGTTTGGGGGTGGCAGGTTTTCAGATGGAGCTTTCGGGTGAACTTGGACCCGGAAAGAGTCGCATCCTGTCATTATGGTAAAAGCCCTAGGCAGGCTCTGACTCCATGCTCTGCTCCCAGACTTTGGCAGTGGCCCAGCTTATAATGTGAGTCAGATCTGAGTTTAACTGAGATCGTGTCTCTTCTCCACGTTACAGGGGGTTTGTGTGGATATATGTAGGCTCAAGAAAGGAGGAGAGTCTGGTGCTGGGAAGCGTGGCTTGGACGCTCTGATTCAGTGACTACGGTGGACCAAGGAGGCTAAATCTAAGAAAGTGAAGGGAAGGCAAGTCCTTAACAGACAACACTGTTGTCTGGAGTGCTGCGTCCAGCTGTGGAACCCTCAACATCAGAAGGATACAGACCAGTTGGAGCGAGTCCAGAGGAGGCCACGGAGATGCTCCGAGGGCTGGAGCACCTCTGCTATGAAGAAAGGCTGAGAGTTGGGAGGTGTTCAGCCTAGAGAAGAGAAGGCTCTGGGGAGACCTTATTGCAACCTTCCAGTACCTGAAGGGGCTACAAGGAAGCTGGGGGGGACTTTTTACAAGGGCCTGTACTGACAGGACAAGGGGTAACGGGTTTAAATTGAAAGTGGGGAGGTCTAGATTGGATATCAGGAAGAAATTCTTCCTGGAGAGGGTGGTGAAGCACTGGGACAGGCTGCCCAGAGAACCTGTGGATGCCCCCTCCCTGGAAGTGTCCAAGGCCAGGCTGGATGAGGCTTGGAGCAACCTGGTCTAGTGGAAGGTGTCCCTGCCCATGGCAGGGGGTGGGACTGGGTGATCTTTAAGGTCCCTTCCAACCCAAACCATTCTGTGATTCTGTAACTCTACAAGAGAAAGGTGGATTCTAACAGTGAAATAGTAGGGAACCCTGTGCAGCAGGTCTTAGTTATAAAGAATTCTTAAAAATAATCTAAGGCTCAAGCCTGTAGGTTTAGGAACCAGCTGAAAGTTGGAATGTCCCCACAAGCATGCTGAGGACCAGTGGCTTTGTAGGCAGCACAGGTTGGGGGAAACCAAAAATAGCATTGGTGGAAAAATTGTTGCCCTGCTGGGATTTTTCTCAGGAGGCAGACTTGTCATGCTCATATGCTCGCTTTCCCACACTTGGTGATCCCTCTTGTTGAATTAAAATGTAGGAAATGCAAGATATGACACTGGTTTTGAATTGTGACATAAAAAGGGCAGTTTACTGGAAGTTTTCTTGGCAACATCAGTAATAAATCGGACATTGAGAAGTGAGGAAAAAAGGAATTGTGGAGTCTTGAGGTTCACAGGTAGGAGAACAGCAATACAAAGTAGCAAAGGCAAAAGAGCACACAAATTGACATTGAGGGGAAAGTCAGCAGATTGATCTGTGGGCAAAAGATTAAATTATGTTTTCTGAACTAACTGGTACAGACTGTCCTTTGCATCAGCCTTTAATGTTTGTTCAGCATTCTCTTAGGACATGAGACTCTCGAATCTGTAACTCTGCATCTGTTTGGCTTTCGGTAACCTGTGAGTGGGGAATCCCAGAGCATGGGAGAGCTTCTGGGAGATGAAGAGAAGTTGGAATGGTTTTGGTTGTTCAACAGCGTGTCTACCTTTGGCTAGATGTCCTATGGATATGTCAACATCCTATGGATGCTGTGGGCACCCTGGGGTCATTTCAGCTTTGGTAAGTTGGAAGATGTTCTCATTGTTCCTTACAGAAACGCGGTTGAGCCTACCGAAGGGTGCCGAACCCAAGGCTTCCCGAGCAAGCACGAGCACTCTGGTACATTGAGCTGTTGAGGAAGGGTGGGCTTTGCCTCTTCCTCTGTTCTTAAAAACCAAGGGCTTGTTTGGTGCTTCAGAAGTAAATGCAGGGCCTCACTACCAAGTGAGCAGTCTAGGATCTGTATCCTGTGTAAAAAATGCCACGCCTGTAGCCGTGACAATGTTAGAGCTTCTGGGGTTTAAATATGAGTGCAGTATTTTGCACCTGCCCCTGGCTGACTCCAAGAAGCTTTTTCTTATCCATTTTTTTAATCTTCTTTCAAGGTTTCCAACTCGCCTCATGCCTTGGCATAGGGAAGCAAAGGGCCTAACTGGGTTCTGCTTTGGTGCTGAAGCAAGAGAAACTGCTGTCTAAGCTACTGAAGTCTGCGGTGGTATATTGAAACTTTCAAGCCCAGTGCATTTCCAGCATAACTCCCTAAAGGTCATGTAAAAACAGACACTATTCCTTGCTTAAACCAGATACAGAGGCTTTCCAGGTTGCTTGACTCCTGTTTCTGGCTTAGTAGTACCTCCTTTTCCTACATGGTTTCAAAGTAGAAAACGGCTTGAATTTTTTTCAGTTCAGCTCATGCCAAACTGTCATTTGAGGTGAGTGGATGACCTGTACCTTATTCTTTGAATCAGGCTGGGAGCATCCATGGAGAGATACAGATGAATGATATGGGATACCATAAAAAAAGGATGCTATTATTAGTAGGATGGATATTAGTGTGCCACCAATTTCCAGCTGCTACTATTTTTTTAGTAGAGAGCCCTTATAAATGGTCCAGATTTTTCAGGTTGGCTTCTAATAATTGCATTAAAAGAATTTAATAGCAAAAATCTAGAGAGCAAATATTTGCCTTCCTGGCTTTCAGAAATCGAACTCCACTGGCCTTCACCTGGTCATGTCACAATCTGCTGCCCACAGCTTCCGATGGAAGAAGTCTGCATTTAGTAACATAAATACTGGCTTGTTTATCTCATCCCCATGTCAAGGTGAGCTTGTCTTCTTATAAAGACCCACATTTTCTTTAGCACCAGTCTGTCAGGTCCGCTGAGAATGAAGTCCCTGGTCCTGCTTTTCCTGCTGTCTGGTGTGTAGGTGGCACTTGCCCCCCAGCACCCCTGGACTGGTAACACCATGCCTAACTCTAACCTTTGTCTTTCTTCTCAGTGGGCGCAGCCACTGCTGCTGTCTCACCCCGAGCCGTATGGGAGCTTCGCAGCATGATCAGATGCACCATCCCAGACAGCCATCCTCTGCTGGAATTTGCTGACTATGGCTGCTACTGCGGTTTGGGAGGCAGCGGCACACCAGTGGATGAGCTTGACAGGTTTATAGGACTCTGCTTTTACAAATCTCTTTACTTGCCTCTGCTTTCATGGTTCTGCACGCCACCTTGGTCCCTTCCGTGGCTGTTAAACTGCACTGCTTCCAGCATTTTTTTTTTTTGCCATAGTGCTGTGCCAGCAACCCGAGGACACACTGCCTGGTGCATGACCATCAACGCGTGCAGGGCTGAGCTGCAAAATGCTCAGTTCTTGAGCAGTTCAGAGATGATGCAAGACTGATAGCCAAGACGCGGTGAATTGTGTTGGTTGTTAGCTCTTCAGCTACCAGGCGCTGATGGGGAGCATAGGTTAAATGCTGGGTTTGCTTCCCCTGTGCTCAGTGGACAACACTGTGAAGATGCACTGAGGCACTGGGACAGGTTGCCCAGAGAAGCTGCAGATGCCCCATCCCTGGAAGTGTGCAAGGCCAGGCGGGATGAGGCTTGGAGCAACCTGGTCTAGTGCAAGGTGTCCCTGCCCATGGCAGGGGAATGGGACTGGATGATCTTTAAGGTCCCTTCCAGCCCAAACCATTCTGTGATTCTATGATGCTGCAGTAAGCACATGTGTAGCAGACATGCTAGTTGGCAGAACTGTGTCCCTTTGAGGTCCTTTGTGTCTGCTCTCTTACCACTGAGTATCTTTTTTCTTTGTCATGTACCTTGTCAAAGCAATATTAGTGTATTTATGTGTCTTACAGGTCAGCTGAGTTTGCATTTCTGGTATTTTCCGACCTTTTCCTCCTTGTTTCCCAGGTGCTGTCAAGTACACGATGAGTGCTACTCGCAAGCAAATAAACTAGAATCATGCAGATTCCTCGTGGACAACCCCTACACGGAGATGTACAGCTTCAGCTGCTCCAACGGAAAGATTACGTGTAGCAGTACGTCCACTGCCACATCGCTCCGCTTCAAACGCTGCTCCAGCCTCTCTTCTGAAGGAATGGGGCTGTGTTACACTGGGTGCCTCCGGCAGGAAGGCACAGCGCAACACCCTGCTTGGGGGCTGGCTGTTAGCAACGGGGCACCTCACACAGGCACCAGAGTGCATGTTCGCCATGGACCACACAATTTAAGCTTTATGGAAGATACGTGGTGTCACGGTGCACAGGGAAGCCTGTCCCCTCTTCAGGGGATTGAGTTCCTGTGGTATTTTTGCTGGGTGTCCCTTTATGGCGGTGTTCATGCGATCAGCAGGTTAAGTGGGGAGTGGTATGCAGCTTCTGGACATGTCTAGTGTCATGGTGGAGCTTTTATAGGGCTCTCAAACAGAGATAAATAGCAGATAGGCTGGCAAACAGGGAAGGAAGGAGCAAGGTCATTGCTGGGCTGGAGCCCACAGCTTTGGGGCTCGAGGGTTAGCAGGGAGAGGCACATACACCCCAAAACAACAGCATCAGTGAAATGGCGATGCCCTGTCAGCCTGCATCACTGCCAGGCCTGGTGAAGGAGCTGCGGGGCCTGACCGTTCCCGTTCTCCCCTCCAGGCAAAAACAACGAGTGCGAGACGTTCATCTGCAACTGTGACCGCGCTGCTGCCATGTGCTTCGCTAAGGCACCCTACAACCCCGAGTACAGCAAGCTGGACACCAAGGAATACTGCAGCTAGCC